GGACTCGCACAAGCTGAACCACTTTGAACTAGTCCTGAGCTACACTTGAACTACGCGCGCGACGGCCTGAACCACACTGCACTACTCCTGAACTACTTTTGAACTACAGCGCCCACGACGGTGGGCCATGGATAAGCACAAGCTGAACCACTTTGAACTAGTCCTGAACTACACTTGAACTACGCGCGCGACGGCCTGAACCACCCTGAACTACCACTGAACTACTTTTGAACTACAGCGCTCACGGCGCGGGCCAACGGCGACCGCGGGCTGAACCAAATTGAACTAGTCCTGAACTACACTTGAACTACGCGCGCGACGGCCTGAACCACCCTGAACTACTACTGAACTACTTTTGAACTACAGCGCCCACAGGAGTGCAGCGACAACCGCCAATTGCTGAACCACATTGAACTAGTGCTGAACTACACTTGAACTACGGGCGCGACGGCCTGAACCACCCTGAACTATTCCTGAACTACTCTTGAACTACAGCGCGGGCAGGAGTGCACCATGGATCAGCACAAGCTGAACCACTTTGAACTAGTTTTGCACTACACCTGAACTACGCGCGCGACGGCCTGAGCCATCCTGAACTAATCCTGAACTGCTCCTGAACTACAGCGTGCACAGGCGTGCGCCATGGACTCGCACAAGCTGAACCACTTTGAACTAGTCCTGAACTACACTTGAACTACGCGCGCGACGGCCTGAACCACCCTGAACTACCCCTGCACTACTTTTGAACTACAGCGCCCACAGGAGTGGAGCAAGAGCCACCAATGGCTGAACCACCTTGAACTAGTCCTGAGCTACACTTGAACTACGAGCGCGACGGCCTGAACCACGCTGAACTACTATTGAACTACTCTTGAACTAAAGCGCGGGCAGGAGTGCACCATGGATCAGCACAAGCTGAACCACTTTGAACTAGTCCTGAACTGCACTTGAACTACGCGCGCGACGGCCTGAGCCACCCTGAACTACTCTTGCACTACTCTTGAACTACAGCGTGCGCAGGCGTGCCCCATGGACTACGACAAGCTGAACCACTTTGAACTAGTCTTGATCTACACTTGAACTACGCGCGCGACAGCCTGAACCACCCTGAACTACCCCTGAACTACTCTTGAACTACGGAGCTGACAGGCGTGCGCCATCGACTAGCACAAACTGACCACTTTGAACTAGTCTTGAACTGCACTTGGACTACGCGCGCGACGGCCTGAACCACACTGAACTACCCCTGCACTACGCTTGAACTACAGCGCTGGCAGACGTGGGGAGGCGCCCAACGATGACTGAACCAGTTTGAACTAGTCTTGAACTACACTTGAACTACGCGCGCGACGGCCTGAACCACCCTGAACTACCCCTGAACTACTTTTGAACTACAGTGCTCACACTAGTGGGTCGGGCGACACCAAGGCCAGAAACATTTGAACTAGTCTTGAACTACACTTGAACTACACGCGCGACGACCTGAACCACCCTGAACTACTCCTGAACTACTCTTGAACTACAGCGCTCACGACTGCCAGCCATGGACTAGCACAAGCTGGGCCACTTTGAACTAGTCTTGAACTACACTTGAACTACGCGCGCGGCGGCCCGAACCACACTGAACTACTCCTGAACTATTCTTGAACTACAGCGCCCACGACGGTTGGCCATGGACAAGCACAAGCTGAGCCACGTTGAACTAGTCCTGAACTACACTTGAACTACGCGCGCGACGGCCTGAACCACCCTGAACTACCCCTGAACTACTTTTGAACTACAGCGTGGCAGGAGCGTTCCACGGACTAGCACAAGCTGAACCACCCTGAACTAGTCCTGAACTACACTTGAACTACGCGCGCGACGGCCTGAACCACCCTGAACTACTCTTGAACTACCCCTGAACTACAGCATTCACAGGCGTGTGGCATTGGCGAGCACAGGCTAAACCACTTTGAACTAGTCTTGAACTGCACTTGAACTACGCGCGCGACGACCTGAACCACCCTGAACTACTCCTGAACTACTCTTGAACTGCAGCGCGCACGGCGGTGATCCATGGTCAAGCGCAAGCTGAACCACTTTGCACTAGTCTTGAACTACACTTGAACTACGCGCGCGACGGCCTGAACCACCCTGAACTACCCTTGAATTACTTTTGAACTGCAGCGCGGACAGGGGTGCACCACGGACTAGCACAAGCTGAACCACCTTGAACTAGTCCTGAACTACACTTGAACTACGCGCGCGACGGCCTGAACCACATTGAACTACTCTTGAACTACTCCTGAACTACAGCGCCCACAGGAGTTCACCATGGACTCGCACAAGCTGAACCACTTTGAACTAGTCCTGAACTACACTTGAACTACGCGCGCGACGAGCGGAACCACCTTGAGCTACCCCTGCGCTGCTCTTGACCTGCGATACCACAAGCGAAGCCGCGGTAACCTCCACAGACTGAGCTGCTTTGCACAAGTCGCTACTTGCATCTGAGCAGCGCGCGCGAAGCCCTGCAAGAACGTCACGTCGCCTTGGGCTAAGATTGAACAGCCACGCCCACTGCAATGACGCCTGGGCTACCAAGCGCCGACTACGTTGAACGGGGCTTGGGCTATTCTAGAACTGCACGCGCAAAGGGCTGCGCCGTTTCGGACATGTTCTTGATCGGCGCATGGACTGCGGCGGTGGCAGCAGTAGGCCATGGGGGGATAGTGATACGTCCGCCCTGAGCGGATGCTGTGGTATTCTGGAACTCAGAAGACGACGGCCTGACCCATCTTGCGCTAGCATGGGCGACTCGCGCGCTGCGCCGCAGGCAAAGACGGGCTGTCGGCCGCCGAGAGAGCAGCTGATTTTATTCATCTGCGCTTGGTCAATTCTTGAGCTGTGATGCGCGCTCACAACTCACCCTGAGCTACACGTGAGACAGAACGTGTACACGGCGCTTAGATGCCGACGCGCCGTGGCATTACCATCTGGTATGACACGCCCGCGCTACGAGCCCAAACCATCATGGCCAATCATTGTGCCACTTTGGGGTTCGGGGCGGCAAGCACTTGTTCGGTTCCGAATGAGAGCAAGGCAACATGCCGCGGCGACTTAGCGTCGCGTAGCCATGCGCTCCAGCAAACTAGCGCTCCGTGGCGCGGGCACGAGGTGCGCGCAGGCTCGTCTCTGCCATCGCTGGGCTATGGCGGGCCAAGTGCATAGCCGCACACGGCTTTCCCTGGGCAGCGATTGGCTTGCGCGATCGATTGCCCGAACCACCTCGAAGCATTGATGAAGTACTGCTGTTCTGGCACCGAGAGTGGGCCGTGCTTGCCCGACAGCAGTATTCCCCACATTGCCGCGTTGCTGCGCTGAGGGTGGGGCTGCGAAGTCTTTAGGCCTAGGCCCTGCAGAAATGCAAACGACACGCGTCGAGTCCTACGCGCATGGGCCACGCGAGTCGCAAAGCCGTTATGGGCATCACTTGGGCCAGGCACCGACAGCGTTGAGCTGCGGGCGCAGGGGTGCCTGGCCCAAGCTTGCTGCTCCCATCGCATGCTTAGTCGTGCGGAGGAACAGCAAATTATCATTGGGTTTCGCCAGACGCATGTCGGCGATACCCCGGCGACGTAGCCTTGCGTGTTGTTCCTACTACAGCGGGTCGTCAGCGTTGTCTTCTTGGGCGGAGCCAGCCAAAAGGCCTGTGCTTCCAGTGGTTGTCGACATGGTTTTGGCGGTCGTTCGGGGTGCCCGATTCGCCACGTCGCGTGACCATCAGCATGCGCGACCGAAAAGGGTCGCGGCGCAGTTTACAGCGTCCAGCGACGGCCACATTCATTCGCTTCAGCGCAGCCCGCGCGAATCCACGACGTGACGCGCAATGCAGCGCGCGAGCAAAAGTACCTAGCTTTGCTTAAGCCAAGGCTAACATATCGTGCCATAAAATAGAAAGCTGTACTAACAATTTAGCGGTGTGCGCTTAACCAAATATGCGCTCTCACAATAAAGGCCACTTGCTGCACGGACGCGCGTCGCACTTACAGGCGCCACGCGCATGGCGCATTCGAGGCACAGCGCAGCGCCAGTATACATTGCAGTGCATACAGCACGCGCGCTGGGCATGGGCACACACCAACGAATGTCACTGGCTGGCGACCCCCCCCCCCAAAAGGGCCTCTGCAAGGGTTCCTGGGCTCTCAAGGTTCACGTGGTTGCAAATCACACGTTGCCGTCGCTTGTCGGTGCTGCGCTACGTGCTATGTTTTCTTGAGGATGTACGCGCCAACGTTTCGCAATGATGGGGTAGATTGTCTAGGCGTGTTGTTTCTGAGGGCTCTCGCAGTTGGTCTCTTTCAAGAAAGCCCTGAGGCGGCGCGTCCGCACTCTGACTTGGTTTCTCGAATGCAAAGAACACACGCGGTTTCACGCCGTCTTCTCGCGACCGCGGCGTTCGAGGCCGCGGCGCCACATCTGAAGACCCGATGTGGCGTTGAGGCCCCGACCGCTGCGTTGTCCGGGACGGGCGACGTGACACCGCGAAAAAAGTGGTCTCTCGGTGCCGTTGGCCTATCCCAAAAACTGTTCGGCGGGAATCTCTGTCGTGCTCGGGGCTTGTTGTTTGGAAAGGCCGCAAGCTTCCCCCAGGGCTCAAGCGGGCGGAAACCAATGAAATGTCCAGCGGCATGGTCGTCATTATGACCACGCGATCCGTGAGAGCAACCTTTGGGTTTCGAATTCTCCATTCGCTTCCGTATCGTAGCCATTCTGATTCAGGGTTGTTTTCTCGACGCACCTTGCGGCCCAGGGTGAGGTGCGCGTCTCTTCACTTAACGGAGCGTCCCTCAGCAACCATGTCCGTCTCTGGAGACGACGTTGACGCAGCGGAGATGCGGCCTCCTACAGCCCCGCCAGTGGCTCGCAGGAGGAGTTCTGCCAGCGATCATGCTGCTCACACCAAGGCCGAGTTAGCAGGCGCATGTTACTTATGCCAGGAGCCGTTGTGCCCTAAGGACAACACCAAGAAATGGAACGGCTACGTCTTCCACGCTAGCCCGTGCTGGAACAACATTCGGGCTCGCCATCGCGTCTGCAATGCCACCCAGAACGGCCTCAGGCGCGAGCTCGAGTTGATGAGCGGCGATCCTGAGAAGTGGCGCTGCGAGGCGATGCAGTTCGATCGGGCTCGCTTTGATAGCAACCGATTGCATGCGCGCGAAGCTCTGACGAAGCAGCTTGCAGACTACGAGCTCGAGCTGCAGCGCAAGTCTGAGCTGACCTTGAATGACGCCGCGAAGTGCACCAAGGCACAGTACAAGAAGGCGAAGTTGAGGGGCATGGATTCGGACGAGGCGAGCGCCGAGTGGGACAGTGAGTACGCAGAACACCCGACGGTCAACAGGAAGGGCGAGAAGTGCATTGCCATTGAGGGCCCCGAGGTGACCAGGAAGTTGGAGGGGGCGGAGCGCCAGGGCGTGAAGCGAGGTCTGATCGAGTCGGCGCCTGGAACCTCCTCTTGGAGCTCAGGGGCGGCGTCCTCTGGTGGCGATGGGGCTAGTCCAGCTTCGGGGCGAACTGGCGGGAAGAGCGGCGCCAACCTGACGGAGGTGAACATCCAGCGCCCCGCGGATGCATTCAATGAGATTGGAGAGGATGGCGTTGTCTCAGTGGTGAGCACGCGCACTCGCGTCTCACGCGGCGCCCGCTTGGCGTCGCAGCTGCAGCCGTCGCAGGGCTTCCTGCAACAGATGACATCAGCACCGCGCTTCGGGAGATCGTCTCAAGCATCGACGGCAGCAGGAAGGAGGTCGGCGCGACCAAGAAGCTCTAGGCGTTGCACACCAAGGTCGTGGAGAAGAACATTGGGGTGGAGGGGGTCTACCTCATGACGTCAGCACGGTGATCGGCCACCTCTCTCGCGCGAGCTCGTTGGCCAAAGGCGAGCTCGAGAATATCGGCCCCGCCAAGGTGGATGAAGTTCCATCTCTCGAGGAGGCGCTAACGAACATCCAGAAGCAGAGGTCCGCGTGCTTCGAGCAGGTGCAAACCCTCGCGGATCAGCTGAATTTCAAGTTCCAGGAGGTTTGCTCTGAACAGAGGTCCGAATACCAGAAGAACCGCTGGGGGAAGACGAAGATCCAACATATGTCCAGCAAAGGAGGCTTTGGCCTGAACTTGTCCAAGTGGGCGTCGGAGCAGATCCACAGCACGGCTAGCCTCAGTGGCGCCAGCACGGATGGTGTCATCTGTTTGTGTGAGAAGGCGCAGCTCAACCCCGAGGGCGGTTCCTTCGACGTGGCCAAGCTGGCTCTCTTCACGGGCGAGAGCCCCAACGAAGACTGCCAGTCGCATAGTGCGTGGTGGGGCATGAAGCTGCTGCTGGACGATGCCGCGAAGGTCTTCATCGACAGCAAGATCACCAGCATGAAGGCTGAGATGGCCAACCACCCGCTGCGGCCAGGTGCGATGGGGAGGGTGTCAGATTGCTTCGCAAACGTCGACGCGGTCGCCACCTTGGGCGCGCAGAACACCAAGGAGAAGGGCTCGGAGTGCTGGCTCGTGTGTGCGAGAGCTGGCGTCTATCGCATTGGTCCTCAGAGCGTGCCCATGCCAGGCACGCCATCGATCACTGTCGCCATGGACAAGCCGCTCTTGGTCCACGCCGTGCGCATGAAGGACTTCTTGAGCCAGGGCATCGCCGTGAACAACTACGAGCAGTTCCTCGCGACAGCGACGGGAGCAGACATCATCAAGCAGTCAACGTTGGTGATCGTCAACCCAGGGGACAGCTTGTACGTTCCCACGGCGTGGTGGTGGTCCTTGACGGTGCTCGCGGGGCTCCGCGACACGGTTGCATCAGACGAGTCGAGGGCGAAGGGGCCACCGAAGGCGAAGGCGAAGGCTTCCGCCACGGCTCCAGCTCCAGGTCAGGACACGGTCGGCATGGCCACGGTGGTGCCAGTCTACTCCCCGTCGCTTTGGGGCACCGCCCAGAGCAATGAGCAGGGGGCGATCGTCGCTTTGAACAAGGCCCACTTCGACACGAAGAAGGGTCGTGCGATGTGGGATGAGCGTGCCACGGCATTCGGACAAGTGTTTGCCACCTAGTCGGAGAGATGGAGCTTCGAACCTAACAAGGCCCATGGCTGCGCGCTCTGGGTCAACGCATGGCAGTCCCAGCTGGTGGCGCGGACATTGATGCGAGGCCCTTGCAAGCTCAGGATGGAGTGTTTCATCAGACCTGGGCGCCCGAGATCCGTTCATCAGGGCGATCGCCGTGGCATTTCATTCATTACCTCCCCCACCTCATCATGCCAATGTGTTGTTGCATATGTGGAGCTTCGCTCTATGCACCCTGATGTTTATAATACCTGGAGCTTCGCTCTCTGCACCCTGATGTTTACTATTCCCAGAGCTTCGCTCTCAGCACGCCTGGTGTTAAGTATATCTGGGGCTCGCTCTGTAAAGCTTGATTGCATGTCGAATGGCATTCTGGTGCGCCATGCCATTCGACATCCATGTGGCGGGTTGTTGGGTCCGCGTGGCCTTTCAGGGGTGCCTTCGGGGCCCGCGCCCTCGCGAGCAAGGGATGGGGCGGGAGGGCGGGCGCGATGTAAGACAACTACGTTGGGATCTGGGGGGGCAGGGGGCGAGGGGCACAGAGGGGCACGGGGTAAAAGGTCGGAAGAACGAACGAGGATGGAGGCATGATACTTGGGCGGGAGGGCGGAACGTCGCCCGTAGGACGCGCGCTGGAGGCGCGGGGGTGGCGGGGGAGGGCGGTCGCGCGGGAGGGGGGCGCGCAGCCGTCACTGACGGCTGTCGTGATCGAGTTCGGCTTTGCCGCTGCGGCATCCGAGCCGTTTGCTGGACGAACCGCCCGCGTGCACTCATGGTCCAGCGACGCGCCCGTCGCGCGGAACGAGCGGCCAGATGCTGTGGCCGTGTCACAACGTATGGCCGTCGTTCACGCGCCGCGGGCGCATTGGCGGACTTTGGGTGCGAGCGCGGGGTGCGTCCAGCAAACGACGCACGTGCCGAGGTGGCGGCGCCAGACTCGATCGCGAGTGCTGAAAGTGAATGCTGTCCTGCGTGGCGCGCTCGAGGGTGCTTGCGTTGACAGCGCGGCCGCGCTGCGCGTCCCATTAGAGCGCGATCTCGCGAGCGCGGGCATGCGTCAAAAGGCGCATCGGATGTTCGATGCGCTGATCTTGGCGTTGCGGGTTCGTTCGCCTCGCCGCGCAATTGCAACTTGACGACTCGTTCGGTCGTTCGGGCGTGGGCGCGCGATGCGTGCGCGTCACCACTTGCGATTAGCATTGCGTCGGCGCGTGCGCTATTCGATGAAAACGTACGTGGAATAAAACAGAACAACCAACGAACACACCGCCGAACTATGCGGCTTGGCAGTGTGTTGCTTTTTCTGTAGAAGTTACATGATGTGTTGAGCGTTTCTGTAGCGGATGGTTGCTTGCCAGCGCTTTGACCGTAAGTCCGTGCCTTGCCAATGACGGTGACTAAGTCGTCGGGCGAAGCAGGACAGGGCGGAGAAGAAGACGACAAGAGCGACGCTCCTAACATTGAGATCGTATCTTCGCATGAAGATGATCGTGGTAGAAGACCACGTGGGTCGCCTCCGGGAAGCCCAGGGGGGCCAGACCCCTCTGGTGGGGGTGGGCGCAGGGGGCCCCAGGGCCCCGGCGGACCGCGCGACTCGGTAGTAATTGACGAAAGCACGCCGTTGGATCAGTGGAGACAGGTTGGTAACAACCAGGAAATTGATTTGTTGGACATCCCTGTTGGACATCCCTGATGTAACGAACATTCGTGAGTGGAAAATGGCACGCAAAACGCGCAATCGCTGGATCGTCGCCCGAGAGCCAGGCAGCACAGCATTGGATTGCTGAGGCTATGGATCCAGCTGTGGAGGATGAGCAACTCAAAGATGCAGGACGATTCCAGCGTCTCGACCTCATGATCGCAACGAATCTTATCGAACAATTCAACAAGATGCGAAAGAGTCGATATCAGCCTGGTCATCATACTCAATTCCTACAACAGATTACTCGTATGGGATTTAGCGCCCAGACCGAGGGAAGACTCATGACTGGACGCGAGATGATGCGAGCAATTTGTCAATGGTGTTCGGTAAGATCGGAGTTGGGACAACATCGCATTTCACGTGACCTCTTCAAGGTGATCATTGACCCGCGCAAGCCTGATGCTGATCTGTGTCATTTCTACAATGAATGGACAAACGTATATCAACAGCTTTATGGCGCTAAGCCACCGTCCGATGAGATGAGGGCCTCGATTCATGCACACTTTCTCGAACAATGCAGAAAACCGAGCTAACTGAACTTTGTATGTCACTTATACGACTTGTCAAAAGATAAAATGGAACATGGCGCACAGATTTATGAATGGCTAATGGAGCAGATTGAAGACATGATGTTGCGAGACAAAGAAGAGTAGAACATCAGCGTGCATGAGGGCACCTTGAACCAACGTGCTAGGCAAGCACGATTCGGCGGGGGCGGAGGCAATGACAACGGGAAGAATGCAGGCAGTAAAGCCGCCCCGGCAGAGATTGCTGCTAAATTGGGGAAACCCTCAGATGTCATGAAAAACGGGAAGACCAAGGGCGAAACCACGTGCAGATACGTGCACAAGGGCGAAACTTGCCCGCGCGCAGGAAAGGGCGGTCCCTTCAATCATAAGAAACCCAAGAATGCCGCGCCGGCTCAGCCGAGTGCGGGGCAAACATCCAGTGCCGCTCTTGCCCAGGACAAGAACCCTAGAGGGGGATCGAAGGACAGGGGCCGAAAGGGGCAGGGCCGATCCCAGACCCGGACTGGCGACCGTGGGAAAGGAGGACAGCAGAATAATAGAAGTCAGTCGCGTGGGAAAGACAGTACCATTCCGTGTTACGCATATTCCCGAGACCCCAAGAATTGTCGAGGACCAGAAGACGGATGTAACAAAGCCCACAGAGGGCTAACCGATGCTGAGAAGCTGAAGCGTGACAAGTGGGAACGAGCGAGACTTGACGCTGGACGATATTTGGGGTATGAGCGTACATTCAAACAGGCCAATGCTGCCGCTGCCAATATCTCTTCGGCGGGAAGCAATGGTGGCTCCAGAGCCACTAAAGCTAATTCCGACAAGCGTAAAAAGGATGGAGAGAAAAACAAAGGTGGTGGCAAAGGCAAAGACATGGTCTGCCGCTCCTACAAGGAAACGGGAAAATGCTCACGCGGAAAGGAATGCTGGTTCGCCAAGACCACTCCAGGTCATCCAGTTGCGTGACAGTGGCTCCACGCTGGCGGCTCAGCCGTCAGTGCTGGAGGAACGATAAACATAATTACATCATTTAAGAACGGTCTTCTTTCTTGCCGCCCTTGTTTGGCAGACGTGGCGAAGCCTGCGTCGGTTGAGCAGAAAACGGGGGGGTTGGAGGAGACCCACTGATTCAATCAGCCTGGGTGCCGTCGCGTGCCCCGCCCCATTATTCCGGGGCCTCCCAGGGCAGAAGCAAAACGGCCCTAAGTTTTTGACTGTTACGTCTAGTGCCGATGGAGGAGTCTATTGGGATACCTCCAAAGGTGATTTTCACCAGGACAGCAGGAAACAGGTCGGGAGTCTCGTCTATGTCCTTGCGGATTTCCTGTGCCCTCTTTCTCGGGGCGCGATAAAGAAGTACTGGTGCGTTCCCCCTAGTAAGAGCTGCATGAGACATCGGAATAGTAACCGATGCAATCTCCGTGTCCGTTTCCACCCCTCTACTGAGGAGCCGACTATCACTTGGAAGGCGCGTCGCCACGACTTGAAAGAGTTGCCTTCACGTAGCAAAGACAGATGGAAGTTCCCCGGAGAATTGCGCCGACAGATGTCGATGCAGTCTAGGGCGTCTGTCGCTGAAGCTCTAATCAGAGCATCAGACCTGCAAGATCATGTCTGGCATCTCTGGTTGAAGGACGAGGAGAGGAAAGGAGGCCCGCACGGCTCAGCCGCTGCTGGATGCACAGACAAAGACGCTGCGTATCTGGGGGCGTTGAGCTTCATTATAGATACTGGGTGCGGGTACAACCTAATTGCGGAGAGATACATTAGGAGCGCAGGTGCAATTAGATTGATTCGAAAGCTTCCGCAATCGATCACTCTGAACACTGCTGGGGGGGAGTCTAAGGCCCTCGGTTCAGTTCGCATCACGTGCCCCAAATTTAAGGGTGGTAGTTTTAACGCTTTAGTCATGCCGGGGACCCCGTGCGTGATTTCGGTAGGAGGGCGTTGCATGGATCACGGCTTTAGTTTCTTTTGGCCAGCAGGCCAAAGGCCCTACCTAGTGTTGCCCGACGGCCAAAGAGTGGACCTGGCCGTTGAGAGCAAGATACCATACTTGACCCTATCAGGCAAGGAGGCGCTGGGTCAGTGGATGTGTGCAGCTGCCGCCGGAAGGAGCGAGCCCCCCGAGCGGTGGTGTTGCGTGACGCCGGGCGCCGGGGCATTCTTGGACAACGTGGAATCTGCGGGGGGCCCTCCGCCCCAAGCTGCCCAGACTCGCGTGGCCATAGACCTGCGCACACATGAGCTGATTGGTACCCACAGCTACGCTGATAGGCGGCCGACTGAGATCGCGCCCGCTTTCCCGTCTTCGATAGACTCTGCGGATTCCATCACCTACTTCTACTATTCGCCCCAGGTGGCCAGCGAATGCGGTTGGAATCGGACGCCGACCGGTATTGCTGCCTCGAAAAGTCTCTCAGCTTTGCCCGACCGCGGTCAAGCCGTCGGTCCATTCGACGAGCAGCCCGGCAAAGCCGAGGCTTGCGCTGCCGCGTATAGATGCCAGTGCGGATACGGAGTTTCAGGATACCTCCCGTACGAAGTAAGTAGAGGATTGGACTCCAGTGCGTGCAACGCGGCCCCAGGCTCCGAGGAGGGCGAGGTTGGAGACGCTGACGGCGTCGACTTAGTCGACGTCGACGCACCGCCAGATTTAGACCCAGATGTTGCGGAGGTTGAGGTGTCGGAGACCCTTGCCGAGCGGCTCAAAAAAGCTGCAGCCTCCCTGCCGCGCCTTCTAACTCATACTCCCAAGATCTCATATTGTCCAGTGTGCAATTGGGCCAAAGCTATCAGAAAGCAACAGCGCAAAGCGCAGAACAAAGGGCTAAAGGTTCCCCGCCCATACGCTAACCCCACTTCGTTCGGACAACTGACGACGATGGACAATTGGTTTGCGATGGATGAACTCTCGCGGGGACTCCACGACGAGACCGCGTGTGTGACTTTTCGCGACCGAGCTACGGATTTTCTCGCCGCTCAGGGTGTACACGACAAGTCTGTGCTTCACGTTTGCAATTTAGTAAACCTGAGAGCCCCGGAGGAAAAGTTAGAATATTGTTATGCAGATGGTGCAAGAGAGGTGCCAGGGCATGTTACGAGCTCAATATTGCCCATGATCCTACCATCCCAGGAAATAAGAAACAAAACGCTGTCGCCGAGCGTGCGAACTGTGTTGCGCAGATGGGAGCCAGAGCCTTGCTCATGCAGGCTGGTCTTCCACCACCATATTGGACCTGCGCAGTTCGATATTTCTGTCTATGCGACAATACTAGGACCCACGCTGAAGGGCAGTCCAGTTGGGAAAGACGCTTCGGGTGCCAGTTCAATGCGCCGCTTCTTCCCTTCGGATCACTTGTCCCTTATGTGCCTCCACCTGAATCCCGGTTTCGCACCGCCAAGACTGGAGCGACGATGATTCCAGGGATATACTTGGGGTATGTGCACAAAGCGGGGGGATTGGTCAGACCGGATAGTTACGTTATCCCTCTGGGACAATTGGATGGACTGAATATGGAATCGGGGCGTACACCAGAAGGAAAACGACCTACGATCGAGAAATCAGATCAAGTGTACAGCAACATCTTAGATAGTACTGCTGATGACCAATCGCCTCAGCTTCCCTTGCGAAAAGCATGCGAGAAAGCGGCGACGGAGGTACGTTCCGTCACAATCCCTACAGAGACAGGAGAGGCTGCGGCCGTCCCAGACGGACCACAGCCAGCCACAGGGATAAGACCGGACAACACGTTTAATGCTGATGATCCTGCCATTCTGGTGCCGCCGCCTCCTCAAGAAGGCGAGGGCGCCCCGCGCTTTGACTCTGAGGCCGATTTAGATGATGACGGTCCTGGGGGTCTGTGCGTGGGTGAT